CCTCCGAGCCAAAGGAGAGTCACGTACCTTGTATTTCCTGGACAATTCTGACGCGAATGATCTCAGTAGATAAAAGTGGTTCTCTCTGCTTAGCTAAAGCATAGAATTCACACAGCGCTTAAGTTACTGTGCGTGCAAGGAGTAAACCTCTGCGCAAGAGGAGGATAGGCGCTTAATGTGAAGTCGTGACTGACTGTGGGAGCGAAACGCACGTCACGAAATCTGATACCTTACTTGACATGGTACATAGCCAGCGTTTACGTAATAGGCGTGAACAAGGGAACCAAGAGAGAAGGTGAGGGAGATAATTATAAGGGATGGAAAAAAGGGCCTTTCGTTTGCGCCTGCAACGCAGGTTGGCAGCTCCAAAACAGGCGGTTTAGCGGGGCGCGCGGCGGAACTATGCCCTGGCCTGATAAACTGCCTGTTCCTCAGGCCAGGGTGACTCCCCCCTGGGGTGACAGTGACAGCTCTATTGTAAACCAAAATACCAACAACGAGACATTGACACGGTATTTTGAGTCTGACTATATAGCGCAAAATGTTACCCGTCTCCCGTTATCCCGTCGTCAAACGGAGACAAGAAGAAAACGTTCCCCTTTGGCCCTCCGCCTGGGTAGCCGGCTGGTTCGTTCAGTCTTGCTTTTAGGACAGGCTACAAAGTAAATTCCTGAAAGTATATTACCCCCAATTGGGATCCTTTTTTTTTTTCTGCCAGGCCGCAGGGGAAGCTGTTAACCGGTATTAGAGAGATGTCGACCGTACTCTAGACATCTCTGTTTATTATGATCAAATCAAAACTGAACCAAGTATGTCTCATGAGGTGCATCTTAATTGCTCTTAAACAATTGCAATAGGRATGGCAACGTCCAACATGGCAGGTACAAGATGGAGGCTGTTTGGATGTTATGACGTAATTACCCCGTGACGACGTCATCGTCTCACGTTTTTGTCATCATTGCTGAAATAGATACACAAAGCGTGCGTCACAATATCGAAAATTAAATTATGGGTAATGTTGGTTCGCGGTAGCTTTATTGAAGCTACATTGTGGCTGAAGCCTACGTAGCA